TTTTCATTTTTTGAAAAGTGTCTCATACCTTGAGCTCAACTGTTTGGATCTTATTGTCCTCAGTACAAGTAGTAGTTATCTTATTAGACAACAATCCCCCAGTCTCAAGCTCCAGGTAGAGAGTAACAGGAATGTTAAAATGAGACTTTCCCATCTGGACAAACACTTTCTCATTAACACCCACATGAAAAACTCCGGGGGCTGAGATGAAGAATCTACACAAAAGATGAAAAAAGCACTGTTGGCACCTTTATTGCTATAATTTGCATTGCTTGACCTATATATCCTTAGAGAAATGTGTGCAACGCCGCATATTTTATATACTCTAACAATATGACAAAATGTCATAATAATCATTAACAATATATTATGTTGAAAACATTAATTATTAGATGATGCGTACAAACATAAAATATACATGTATACTGTATATATTTAAATCCCTTTTTCATCAAACAAAAAAAGATTCCCATTACATGACATCATGTATAATCATGCAGCTATTTCTACATTTACCCATTGTCCGTTGAAGCAGCTGGTTCCACAGTCAAGATCAGAAACAGTATTGAGAAGATGTAGCGCTCCATGGTGCAGCTCCTAGGTCTTTGCCTGCTCTGACACAGGCTTTTGATGAACTGAAATTTTGATATTGATCCATCCCTTTATTTCCCAATCGTTGGACTTCGCAAAGCCCTCCCTTTTTTTTCCTTTTTAGATAACTTTGTTTCATTCCTCAATATGATGCCACATGTTGCATGTTCTAACTGGCTATACATAAATCGAGAAAATCATCATACTGTCAGAAATACTATGTATACTCTATTGTACAGATGTGTTATATTCTCATAGTGTTTACATTAAAATGTCAGGCTTTATTGTTTTTATTATTATTTGGCATGCAGCATGGAAAGTGTTAGTTTTTGTTTCACAATGTGAACCCAAACTCTCACTGGTTACTGCAAGTCAGCCAGATTTCCCGAAAATCATGTGATTTACAAGAAATCGAGTTTGCTCTCTTACGGTAGGGAATGGAGTGAGGGCTGTTTACTGATGCAGGAATGATTTAGAGGAAAGAGAAGTGTTGCTAAAGTTTCTGTAAACTCCATAAATATCAATATTTCTTCATGTTAATGGTTCCTTTTCAAATATATCTCATCAATAGTTGCTAAAGCTTCTTAATCTCATAATACTTGTCTTGCAGTTAACTTGACTTAACTCAGCAAAAGAAAGAAACACACACTGAGACCGGTTCAGAAACTTTATTTTTTTCTACATAAACAGCTTCATATAAGATGCAATAAAAAAAATCATATTTCTTCTCAAGTATAGCAGGAAACATGTACATTTTATTATATTTACATTCAACATAAACCAAAAATGCAAGTGAAAGCGTCAGATTTTCACATTTATTTATTTTATTGATGTTTCACTTTATACTCTTGTAAATGTAAACAGAAAGAAATTAGAACCAACATTATCAGAACTACATGCTTCAGATGACCAATCCCTGGTAATTTGCCTGAGGTTTTAGGCTTGCAGTGATTTACTTTATTGCACATACAGCATGTTTGTTTAAGGAGATTTAGTGATTCATTTCTATCTTAATATTGTCAATATGCAATTAATAGTCTATATATTTTTTTGACTTACTTCATGGTATTCTCTAATAACATGAATTGCATTTTTATGTTTTAGATTTAAAAAAGACATAGCTGTAACATCAACATCAATCTTATAAAAAGTTTTAAAATAAAATATTTTATAGATAAATATATACATTTGTTACACATATATACACTGTATAATACACACAGTTTTCCTAATAATAACAGGGGTGTGTTATGGCCCTGAGTAATCCAAAGACACATTTGGCACACACTCTCGGCCTCCATTCACCATGTGGCCCGTTACCAGATCATCTCTTCAACCATTGATGATCGGATTTTCCCCAAATAGCAAGATAAATTGTTCTTTTAAAATGTTTCTTTTCAGCAAACAACTGATCCACAAACCAAGGTAACTTGTTTCTTCAATATAATAAGATATTCACACATGAAACAAACAGAACTTTGCAATAAAAAATTCAAATATGCTCGTCCAATGATGCAGCCTCCTCCTTCAACAAGGAACTCAGGAAATTAAAAAAGTCAAAGTCCAGGATCTAGAAGCTTTAGATTAATTCGGAGAACTGATTTAGAATTTCAATACCTGCATTTTAAAGGCATAAAGTCACATTTGTTAATAATCCAAACTTTTTTATTATATTTTGAAAATGTTCCATAAATATGTAATTTCAATCAAACCAATAGTTTAAAGCCAGTAGGGGCGATGAAATGATTTTTTTCCAGTAATTATAAAAAAAATGAAAGGCCTGCACACAGCTAAATGACATTAAATGAATTCCCATGTAGTTCTCTGTGTTATTCCAGCTAGAAGATGAAGTAAATGAGAGTCTGAGGCAAGATGTCCATGCACAACTCCTGGATATGGAGAATCAACACAAGAATTGCGTTTGGACAATCAACGCCAGACTCCCTGTCAAACTTGGTATGAATAGCTGCATTGGTTTAAAAGAAGTGTATGAGATGAAGAAAAACAAGCGCAGAAATATCTATTATCAAATGGGCTGACAATTTTAAATAAATAAATGAACCATCAAAAGAAAAACAGGCCACTCTCAGAAATGTCATCAGAGAGGTTTTTAAAAAGGATTACATGTAAAGATTAAATGTAATTCATGTTCCAAAGGTTTTTCACCAATAGCACTATATTATTACACAAAATATACCCATTGATTATTTAGAAATGTACTATTTCTTATCTATACCCTGGCATATTTTTAAATTAACTTGTACTAACTAACTTGTTAAAAGGTACATTATTGTAATACTTACATGTCCCAGCAATTTCAATAATACAGTGATAATATTCCAAGAGAAGCATCTATTAATGTTATTAAATATAAAAGTCTATCTTAACTTTTTTTCAATATTGTTAGGTCCTCTGTGCTCTGCGTCCGTCCTCCTCCGCTGCTTGTTCAGTTTGCCTGTCCCCCTCTCGATGCCTTCGCCTCTATCCATCTCATTTCATGCAGGAGTGGGGTTACCTAAGAGACCCGGGCACAATGGAGAAAATCTCTATTCTACAATTAACTGTGAAAGTGACAGAAGGAAAAGAAGGGAGGGATCCACGGAGGGGTTAACAAAAGCACTTGCGCGCTCAGAGAAGAAAAGAAAAGAGGGAAGGACACAAGTGCCCATGGCAGGTAGAGGAACATAGTCAAAAACGTATATTTGCACTAATGTTTAAAGTTTCATCTTAAAAAATAAATAATACACCCGGAGGAAGAAATACCTGTAATGACCGCATTTAGATAGAAAAACTATTGTTGAACGTTTGGACCCTCAGAAAGCAGCATTTATAGTTACTGCATTTATACTTGTGATTTATTTAACATATTTTGTATTGCATTGAGTCAGGCTCAGGATTTTGATGATAAAATGACATGTAGGCCTACATTAAATGATATATTGTAAATATTCTTCACAAACACTCTTAATAAATATATACATTTTAGGGTTGTAGCACCTCATACTTGAATTAGGATTAGGCCAAATTAGGTTGCATTACACTGATCCCAGTGAAAGTGAATTATGCCTATCACCATAATCTCTAAAAATGCAGAGGGAGTGACCACTGGGTCTCCATGGCGAGATGTACACAAAAGGGTGTGGCGTGGGAATGTCCTCAGGGGTCAGGAGTGAGGGTGAAAGGGTCAGAGGTCAGAGCCAGCTGGACAACACACAAGAGGAGATGAGGGTGAGAAAAGGGGGTGAGGGGGGAGTCCAGAGACTCACTGACTGGACCCAATGGGACATTAACATTGAACTGATGGGAGGCTCACTGACCAAGGCCTATTCTGTGAGAAACTAAGCTACGACACACTCATGTGTAATGGTCCGTGGTAATTGACAAGTGACAAGACCCTTGTTGTGGATGCAAAAGCACTTATAAAAATGCAGCGGTAGATTACAAGCTTTCCCTACTAGTTTTTAGTGGTTATATTGGTTTATTTAAGTCAATGATGCAAACAAACGTGTATACTTGTGAAGTTATGAAGTGCTCTCCTTAACAATGGATTATATGAAAAGTGTTATGTGAAACTACAGTAGGCCTATAAGGTCTCATCTTTTGAATGAGAAGCCTATAGGCATATTGGGTTATAGATCTGTATAATTGTATTATCAGTTGGGAGTTTTAGGACTCACTTCGGTATACACAAATTATTACAACCTGTGCTTAGACAGTTTTGAATTTACAGCAGTTATAATAACTTAAAGTATTGGGTAATAATAATATTGAGTTGTATAGTATATATAGTTTTGACCTTACAGAAGTTATAATAACTTACAATATTGAGTAATATAGTGTATAATAATATTGAGTAATATAGTGTATATTACTATCAATATTACTACTAATATAATCTATAATAATATTGAGTAATATAATGTATACCACTATAACTATAGTGTATATTTCTATTAATATTACTATTAATGTATTTATATAACTTTATTATCAGTTTGGAGTTTGAGGACTCACTTCAGTATGCTCCAATTATCGAAACTTGTCATAAATAGTTATAACTTACAGCAGTTATATTAATTAATAGTATTGAGTAATATAGAGTGTATTAATATTGAGTAATACAGTGTATATTACTCTTGTTGTTATATTCTTCACAGTTTCTTATTTTTCACCTCAAGGGAAATAGAGTTTAACAAGCAATGACAATTATCAAACTGCATCTAGAGTAAATAGTTGTAGTAGTAATTGTTGTATGGTGTGAACATTAAATAAAAAATACAGGGAACCCATCATGTTTCTTTACAGTTAACAGGGAAAACAGCCCGTTTTTATTTTTTGTGGAAGAGTTTGACATTCATTGAAAATGTTGTATCATTTCCACTTCCCATGGTGAAAGATGCTCTGTGTACCTCAAGGGTGCAGACAGGAAGGTGAGCGTCTGTGAGCGCTGTCTTCCATGTGTCCTCTAGTGAAGGTCAGGTCAGAGAGGGCAGCAGGCAGTCTGGATCGGGGCCACACTCTGGTGGTCTAAAAAAGAAAATGTTGGGGCCCAACCCAGGGGGTCAACATGCAAATAGTAACCCCTGAGTGAAAGGCATAAAGCAGATCAATGTTCTCACATTACTCTTGCTGCCCATGACTGTGAATGTCCACGCCTACACACCACAGGAGGTTTTCATATTTAATGAAATTCAAAATCAACAATAGAGAAGGCAGCTGTATTTCAACAATGGTAGAAGTATGACGTCATAAGTGAGCATTAAAATCAAATAAGTTGATGTCACAATTGGTTAAAAGAAACTTGTATTTAATGTTGAATCATATACTTTCGATCCACAAAGATTGTTTAGCCAGAACAGTTTCATTTTTTTTCCATACAGCATACAGAAAAACTACAACAACAACAACAATGTCTCCTGAAGTTACTCCACTCTCATTCAGTGCATGTGGAGCAGATGAAATTCAGCTGTTCTGTCTCAGGCAGGCCTACCCACTGCTGCCTCCCAGTGGTGTCAATGGCACCTGTAACACCACAGTCATGTCTCCCTTTAGGTCCTTGTCCAGGGGCCCAGTTCCGGTAACAACTCGTAGTTGAATTTGTCCAGAACCAAAAGTTAAATTTACAAGTGAATCGTAAACCTAGCCAAACATGTGGTGATGTGGCTTTCTTTGCCATGTCAGCCACCTTCCCTTGAATGTCTTTGGTGGTAATGTGGATGAGATCAATATGGTGGTCCCTGCAGTATCCCATAGCTTCAATCCATGTCATATTTTTCCGGACTAGTATCAGGTTTCCTTTTTAAAAGACAAAAGAGAGAAAAACAGAGACATTTTAATCCAGTCACCAGGCAAATACAGGGAAAATGACCACAAAAGGCACATTATAATTGGAATACCTGTCTGCAAACTATGACTGGTTTCCGTGGGCTTTAGAGTTAAGGACGGTGAAGTGGTATCGGCTGAAGTCGCCTTCAGTGTAGTTAAAGTAGAGATACCACCGCTAGTTATGAGTGCGGTAGTAGTGGTGGTTTTAGTGGGCTTTAGAGTTAAGGACGGTGAAGTGGTATCGGCTGAAGTCGGCTTCAGTGTTGTAAAAGTAGAGATACCACTTCTAGTTATGAATGCGGTAGTAGTGGGAATTTGCTGTGTTGCTGTCACAGTTGACATTTCTGTTGCTGCATTGTTGAGCTCGGTGCTTGACGTGCTTGACACAAGATCCGTGGTATTTGGTGTTGTTGGACGATCAGCAGTTGTTGATTCTTCCGTGGTAACGTTAGAGGTGTGCGAAGTATTAGAAACCACATTAAAATGAAAAGTAATTATGACCTCTTGAGATGTTGATGAGTAAGAAGTTGTCAGATCTTCTGTCGTCCCCTCTGTACTTTGATGCGTGGTTGTTGGAATTGATTTTCTTGCTGTAAGAGTAAGTAACAAATTAAATTGACACAGACTAGAGATCTCTGTTGGGTATTTTGCAAGGTTACAAAACATAAATTAAAAGAACATAAAGATAACTTTGCTGACAGAGAACATATGTATGTAGCAACTTACCCCCTTGGCAAACGAAATGGCGCTTTCCGGCACATTTCAGGTCATTCCACTTGCCTTGATTTTTGAAAATGACAGCAGTACAATTCTGACCTTTGTAGTTAGGCTGAGCAGGTAGCCAATAACGGAAAGATGACATGCTCCCATCAGACCACTTCCAGGAATCTTTAAAGAGGCCAATCCACACGTTTTCTGACTCAGACAAATCATGCACTGCCTCATTCTCTTCTGCTGAGTGTATGCTAATGAGATCAGATGACAAGCCTCTGCAATGATTCTGAGCGTCCCTCCATGATTTGGTCTCAGTTACAATTAGACCACTGGCAACCTCGTTTCCTGAAAATCCAAAAGTTTGATATTTTAAACACAGAAAAAGTGACTAATGTCCTCCATTTTAAACTGATTTGTGCCGTCTAAAAGATTATTTAAATACAATATTGCAATTAAACTTACCATGGCAAACAAAACTTCTTTTAGTTCCACAGTCACTCACAATCCATTCGCCATCTTTATCCATGAATGCACACGCATCTTCATTTTTTATTTGTGGTGGTCCATCCTTCCATCTAAAAAAATCCAGATTTTCATCTGGCAGGGACCAATGCCACATCCACAATTTTCCAGTCTCCAGTCCTATCCAAGCTCTGTCAATACTTGGATCTAAGGTTATCAAATGATTCATTTCTATTGAGTTGTGAACTGAAGCTAAGTCAGTGTACATTTGTCTGCAGTAGTTCTTTGCTTCTGCATAGTTCTTCTTAGCAATATTAATAATGTGAAAATCCGAAGATCCCAGTGCAGACAAGCACAATCCTGTGAAAAAACAAGTAACATGTTACAGCAGTTTGAATACCAACAGGTAAAACAATAACATTTTTCTCTTCAGAAATATCCAGACAAAATTATACATGAGTATTCGAATATGAGGAAAACAAGCATGTAAGCTACAAACCTGAGATAAAAAGAAGATATAAAGTTTGAGTCCCTTTCATCGTGTTCAACCTGTCTTCAGTCATGATCATGGCAAACAGCAAAACTAAAAACTAGTTGTTTTTAATATACTATTTTAACCGGTAGCTGTAACGCAGCAGCAGCAGCTATGAGCTGCAGTGTTTGTAAGAATGCCACCGAGCTTGTTCGGAGAAACCTCTTTTGGAGCAACCACGTAAGAAGCTGTTTTTCAGGATTCTTTCTCTATTGCACATATAGGAAGGCACACGGGTTCCTGGTTTGTTGAGTTGAAATTCAATGAAAACAGTTCAATTTAATACATTTATCAATTCATCAAAAGTGGGTAACTGTGAGCTGCTGACATGATCTATGATTATGACATTATTTGGTAACAGGTTAGTAGAAAAATAATTACAATAGCGTGCAAGATTACATCCCTGACCAGGCCAGGTTATATTAAACCACCCTACCTTCGCTAGAAAAATGTGTTGGTAGGAGAAACATCAATCATGTTAAAAAAGTGTGGATGAATAAATCCATGCATGCATTTTTACACCAAACAAAGAAAGAAGGTTGAGATGGATCTACAGGCCCAGCAGAGAGAGAGTGAGTCTCAGAGGGGTAGTGCTTTGAAAAACAAACAAACAAATATATCTGAAAATAAGAACAGTAATGTGATATGTTGCTCTTTTGGATCCTGTGTACTGGAAAATGTCACCTTTTTTCAGAGGGCTGCATCTAATTAAGGGCAGAACTAGAATTATTTCTAAGAAACTGGTTGAAAAATGTAAAAAGCATTAATAACAATAATGTATTTTTCACACAGAGAAGAAGAAATATTGACGAGGAGTGCAAAAGATTACAGAAAAATAAAAATGTAATGAATACTTCTGGTGAAAGAATATAACAAACAACATCACTGAAGCATACAAAGTTGTGCAATACTGTATACCCCCTCCTGTCAAAAGCATTCCAGTGCTTCTTGTGTGGCTGTCTAAGAGTTGGATCAGATTATGTCTCCAAAAAACACTTTTAAATTTCAATTTGAATGAAATGCAATTTACTATGTTGTTGTAGTACTTGTTGTAGGCAACTTTATTAATACACCATTACCAAAAACACATTTGAAAAATCATCTGAATCTTGTGTCAGAATCATAGACTATGAGTAACACAGATTTTCAGAATGCAAATGTGCTGTGTGCCATTCTCCTTTAATTTCCCGGAAGGGGGAACTATCATTTTAAAAAGTAAATATTATGTATTACAATGTTCATGCAGATGGTCGGATATTGCGCACAATAATGAAATGCTATGTTAAAGTGAATTAATCTCTATAAAATTACAGTATAGATCAAGCGGAACACATACTGCAGGAGTGTCATATGACAAGGTGTTATGGGTGGTCCCATGAGACATTTTGGTTCAAGGGATACTGGCACTGAGCCACCATGGCCTGTAAACAACAACAGCGTCAAGTTGAAGTAAACTCGCTCTGAGTGTCGGCCTGTAGTCTGGCGCTGGTCTGGTTACAACAAGTACAGTGAAGTGGTTTTTAACAATGCGTCGAAGGTGTGTCTGGTAAGTAATTCCAACCTTCAAACGACCATGAGCTGTTTTGTCATCCACTGCTTCCTCAGACTATCACCGGGAACCAAGCTAATGTTAGCTGGAGAGGCTAGCCGTAATTGCAGCTAACAAGCTAATCTTAGCTAGAATACATTGCGCTATTATTGCGGATTTATTGAAGTGGCTCGATGACCATCGAGTTATCAAGCTGCACATTTCTTGATGATTACCGGGGTATGTTTATATCGTAGTTTCAAGATATATTATAGCATGCAATATTTTCCAGACGTATGGCAGCCAAAGCTAATGTTAGCTGTCGGGCTTGTGAGCTTTCATGGATTTGCAGCTAGCTAGCTAACTAACTAGCTAGCTACCCTCGGTGAAAGCAATCATTATTTATGTGTTATGTTGAATAATGCACTGTACCACTATTTATTCATGAAATAACTCATGGGCACCGGCACTTTTGTTTGTGCTTTTTATTTACTAAAAGCCTCTTGCCACGGTGAAACTTAAATGTAAACGTTACTGCGTATCGTTAGCAACATTTAGCAAACGTGTAACGCAATTGCGATGCCAAATGGGGCCAGCTATCGTTAACACATTAATGTAAGCAAACGTTGATGTACTTAGTGTTTTGAACACTTTGAACAGATACTTTCATATAATACACAATACGTTGCTATGTGTTAATGCGTTTTCCTCTTAATTCTGGGCTATTTGAACATGTAAAACAGTTTGGATGCTGGTTTTCCGCTTAGCTAATAAATGGTTACAGTCGTATTTGCCAAACGCATCACTCTTTTCGTGGGAAAATGAATACGTGTCAGGCTTATTTTAGTATTATTGACGGCTGCATAATTGTTGGAACATTTGAGACGTAGCGTCACTACTTCCTTAAACTAAGGCTACAACTAACGATTATTTTCTAGGTTAATCAATGAGTTTCTCATCTGCCAGGAAACAGTGAAACTCTTTCATTGCAATTCTTAAACTCCAAAATGTCCTCAAATGTCTTGTCTGATAAACAGTCCAAGATAAAAAACATCAGCTCCCCTGAGTCAGAGACTGATGCACATATTTGATTGACATATGATTTAAAGTATTAAGAAATGTCAAAAATAGCTGGCAATTAAAATCCTGTTTATTAACAACTACAGTACACCATTTTAGAACTGCCTGCAATCATTACCAGTTATTACAAACAGATGTTTCAAGTTCCGTCATAAACTAATAATATCCTCTGTATCACCCTCAGATTGATATCCTTCAGACGAGAACTTATCCTCTCCATTGGGTATCTTACTCGTCATGTCCTCACAGCAAGGCAACAGTTCAGCCTCCAACAGCCCCACCAGCATCTTGGGTTCTCCCTTCTCAGTAATCAGCTCCTCACTTAACTCCCCAGTGGTCTCACCCACTCTGGGATTTGGACCCATCAGCAGCAGTCAGGTAATTGACATTCATTAATCAGTAAATTAATGTCACCTTTTTTTTGTATTTTAAGGATTTATCTGCTGTAGTGTACTTGTATTTGTTTACACGGGGTCGTGGCTACACATGATAGTTTTGCACACACCGCACAGTTTTTTGTGTGTACAATATGTCCAGGAAGATTGTCATGCACATACCACAGTTTGTTTGATACTTCAGTTTAGGATTCAAAGTTTAGAGAAAGCACATTTTGATAATGCATTCAACAGTGTTGTAATTTAACATGACAAAATGAACCAAATGCACCGCTGTGTTTTTAATGAATCTTTTTGGTTTCTTTCGTTTATCCAGATCTCTTCTTCAGCAGGGATGCACTCAATCAGCAGCTCAGAAGATGTCAAGCCTCCGTTTGGCCTGAGGCCCATGCCATCTCACAGCCCTGGGATAATGATGTCTCAGAAACGCATGTGTGTCATCTGTGGAGATCGCTCCTCTGGTGAGTGAGTGTGCTTAAAGCAGGATTAGCAGAAGTGAAAACACAAGCTGTAGAATGTTTTATTTCATTTTAGTAATGTGTTTTCAATAGTTTCAACATCTTAACCGAAATGGAAACCAGACAATTTTGCTGAATAATACAATTGTGATGTTTGATTTTCCCATCAGACTCTTGCTTAACGTCTTTTTATGTTTTAATTTACAGGCAAGCACTACGGAGTGTACAGCTGTGAGGGTTGCAAAGGTTTCTTCAAACGAACTGTGCGCAAAGACCTTAGTTATACCTGCAGAGATAACAAAGAGTGCCTGGTCGACAAACGCCAGCGCAATCGCTGCCAGTACTGCCGCTACCAGAAGTGCCTGGCCATGGGCATGAAGAGGGAAGGTATGCAAGATCAGGGTTCAAATAGCAGTTAAAGTTCATTTTGAGAGCCCGTTTGGCTATAAAAGGTTTATGAACACGTTTGTTTGCGAGTTGACTTACATGCCACTATACAGAGGGGACCTACATTGGAGATTTCTGCAACATAGTTAAATATTCCTATTTAGAATGAATTATACATTGGCAGTCAATTAGATTACTTAGAATAATTTATTATGCTAATGCAAGCCCAATTAAATTGATGAAGTAACATTGGATTAGTACTATTTCTGGCGTAGGTGAGGGTGGATGCAAGATTAGATAGATTAGATAAGATAAAGGGTAGAGACGAGTGTATTGGGGCTGGTTTATATAACTAACCCCTCTCCATCTCTTCTCTTCATTTTCTCCTATTCTACCCTTTCTCCATCTTTCAATAGTGATCAAACATGTAAAGTGGATTAAAGAAGATGGAAAAGATGAGGGATGGATGAGTATGACATGAAATCTTAAAGATATTGTATTTTTATGTTACCTAGAGAAATAGCCTGTTGTGTTAGACATGCAAATTTGTTGATTGGCGGATTTATGTGTGAAAATTTACCCCAAAATGATGGAGAGTGAGGATTGCTGCGGTATGGTGCATTGTGATGATAGACTGCTCTGTAAAAAAAAAAAGCAGTCGGAGAGCTGTTGTTTAGCTGAATCTCTGTAACTGTATTTACAATCTGATTGAGTGGATTGGTGTTGCGCTGCAGAAAATAGGATGGATCTTTCTAGTTAAGGCCCTCTATAGGCCGCAAGAAACATTTGAAGTATCTAAAATGCATAGAGTTGCAGGTGTTGCCTCTTGACCAGCTCTCTGCAGCCCAAATTCTGGCTCCATATTCAGGCATAAAGTCCTTACGCTATGCTTTGCCACACGTTAAGCCTTGTCACTTTGTTATGGCTGCACCTTTGTCGAGAGTGTCTGATCTGCCAGAGAGAAGGGTACGTTTTATGATTTGAGGGGAGTCCAAACATTGTGTATTTAAAAAAAAAACAGCTTCTGTTCTTCCACCTCACTGACATCACAGTTTAGATTGATGTAGACAAAAGGTACTCTCACTTTTACTGCCCTTAAGTTTAAAAAAACAACTTCACATGTTAGTCTCTGTTGTCCATCCATTGTGATTCTGTCTTAAACCATTTAGTACTCCATTGTGAACGACTATGCCAATGCATGTAAGCTAGGAAAGCATGTCATTAACATACTCATGCATGTAACATGAACCTACCACTATACTTAATATACTTCTATTGGTAATGGAAGAACATTCATTTGACTTTTGTCTTGATGGTTATTATGATATTATGAATGTGGTAGAAAATGAAAAGTCAATATGCCACAAAGATACTTTGAGGAACAGTTGTTTCAGTTCTATCTAATGTACTGTATTGTAGAAAAACCAGCCCCACTCTTCAGTTAAAATTGCCAGAAATCCACTGAATGCAACACTTTTGAAATGTGTTTCTGCTCTTACAATAACAATTGTATCAAGACATGCAAAAAACCCTCTACAGAGGCTGAGCATTTTGCACAATATCACCTTTTTAACCCATAAATTCATCAGTTCACATTTACCATTCTTCCGTATTTACCATCATCTCATTCCTTTTCTTCTCCCCCACCACTGTGTCCTTGTGTCTTGTCTGACCAGCGGTCCAGGAGGAGCGCCAGAGGAACCGCGAGCGAGAAGGAGAGCTGGAGTTCAGTATGGGCGTGAATGAGGAGATGCCCGTGGAGAAGATTCTAGAGGCAGAGACCGCTGTGGAGAAGAAGACGGAGCTTCACTCTGACGATGGCTCCGCTGGCAACTCTGTGAGTGGTTAAAACATCGCAATCAAAAGGAAGTTACTTTGCCATTCATCAGTGTTCGGCCGAAGCACGATGGCTTTGGCCTAATGTTTTTAGAATAGCCTAAAGAAAAACACGCTATAAGTACAGGCTTACTGTAATTGTTGGAAGTATTTGGTTTGGATGCACAACTAAGAAGATGTGATTTATTGTTTGGTTTCAGCCCCATGACGCAGTTACCAACATCTGCCAGACTGCAGACAAACAGCTGTTTGCTTTGGTGGAGTGGGCGAAGAGAATCCCTCACTTCTCTGAGCTGCCCCTCGACGACCAGGTCATCCTCCTCCGTGCAGGTACGACTGAGTGTAAAGAACTGCACCTTTTTAACGGAGATCAGATGCACATTATTAGTCTTTCTTCAAGTGTATCAGATTCATATGCCATACTCCAAAGTACACTTCTAAGAGAGGCTAAGGACACGTTTTTAGTGTGTCATGCATATACACTGCTATCTGTGTCTCTTATCTGCACTGGTGTGAACTCTTGCCTGTCCTGGGCTTCACTCTGAAGTCTGTTTTTCCGACACGTGCATTTCCCTATGTGGGATTATAGAAAGGTTTATCTTATCTTAAAGCTAAAGATAGTGCTTTTGTGGATTTCCTTTTACTTGAGTACATTTTTTATTGAATAAATATAACTATATAAAGTTTAATTATTATGTACCCAATGCAGTATTTTAATTATAGTCGAAGCCTGAAGGATCACTTTTAGCGGCCCTTAACTTTGTCTGAATGTTGGTATTTGTGCATGCATAGAGTTAATGAAAAGATAAAGACTATATTGGTAATTAATGCACAGTCAAATACATTTGAAGTTGTTTTTTTTGACAAAATCTATTGTCCTGTTGAATTTGAACTGTGTACAAAAAGTGCTGCAGTGAACCTTAGTTCTAGGACATCTGCCCTTGTACAGTGTCCCTTAATGTGAAGACAGTTTGTTGTTTGTTTGGTGTTGACCTTAGGGGGTTTAACTATCAATAATAACTTTAGACTGCAGGAGGGTCAATGTAGGTCAGGGTGCAGTGGGGACCTTCTGATGTGTACGCACACGGGGGATAAAGTGATGGCTCTAAGTCCTCGAGACCAGTTTCCTAATGAGCCCCTCCCTTTGTGCGTTGTCAGGGTGGAATGAGCTCCTCATCGCCTCGTTCTCCCACCGCTCCATCGGTCTGAAGGACGGAGTTCTCCTGGCCTCTGAGCTGCAGCGGGACAGTGCACACAGCGCGGGAGTGGGGGCCATTTTTGACAGGTGCAAATATGGAGACAAAAAACAGCCAACACACTGTTATGCCTTTTTGTTCAATGTTGCTGCACATGTTTGTATTGTCTACATAATAACTGTTTTTATTTAACACAGGGAGAGTGTGCAGAGTGCAGAGGTCGGCGCCATATTTGACAGGTAATTTCACATTATTTTAGTGTTTGACTAAAAAAGTAATGGTAATGATTGCGCTTTGTATTTGACACCCTGGCTTTCCAAAAAGCATTTCATCAAATCAATGTTATTATTTAGGGTTCTCACGGAGCTCGTCAATAAAATGAGAGATATGCAAATGGACAAAACAGAGCTGGGCTGCCTCCGAGCCATCGTCCTCTTCAACCCAGGTGCCTGACCAATGCTGATATCTAAATAAGAAACATTAACATACTTTTCTTACTATATGGGATGTCTCGTGGCACTGGTGGAAATCTTCTTCTCTATTTGCTTGCAGATGCTAAAGGGCTCTCCAACACCGGGGAGGTGGAGCTCCTTAGAGAAAAGGTCTATGCATCATTGGAGTCCTATTGCAAACAGAAATACCCCGAGCAGCAGGGAAGGTAAACGTCTACAGCTACCTCAAACTCTGCTCGTCCTTTTACAGTGTAGAAAGTGGAACCTGATTGGTGCCTTGGTGTTCTGCTCAAACGTAATGACTTCTCCTCTGCCCTGGCAGGTTTGCGAAGCTCCTCCTGCGACTGCCAGCACTGCGATCTATCGGCTTGAAGTGTTTGGAGCATCTCTTCTTCTTCAAGCTGATCGGTGACACGCCTATTGACACTTTCCTAATGGAAATGCTTGAAGCTCCCCATCAGTTGTCTTAGATAGGATATGCGTACTGTGGTTAAGGTTTAGAAAGCTGGAGTGGGACTGGAGTGGCACTTTAAGTTATTTGAAGATTTGTCAATTCGTCTCACTGCTGTCTGCGTTACACTATTTCAGTGCAGCACAGATTCGCTCTTTAGACCAAACCCAAGGCTTGGCATGATCTACAAGCTGGTGCTATATGTTGAAATAACTCATGAGTAACTATGGTTTGAAAAAAAAAAAAAAAGTATTTTTAAAAATGTAAACATTTACATATTTCCCTCACAGGAGCTATCATTTGGGTAAACATTTTTATATAAGCTTTTTAGACACCTCCAACACCAAGGTTCAGTTAATTCTCCAACTGAACTGAGCCCCAAACCTATTTTTTAAAAGGAAGGCAACCTGAATCATGTGTATGCGTTCAGGATGTATTCTTCTTTTTATCATTTGTAATTGAAGCCAGCTCTAAAACATGATGTATTGTACCGAGCAGTCACCAGGTGCTGTGTCCAACAACAGCTCTAAGTTTACTTGTATCATTGCAGAAGATACAGTCCTGACAGTAACCCTGTGATAGAAGACAGGTCAGTGTTTGAATCTGCCGGGGCCGACTTGTCTGTGTTGAGGATCAGCTTTATGTGTCTGGTAATATACAGTTAGTGTTGTTTACTTCTTTGCCATTTTATAAATCTAATCACGTGGTGGTTAACGATTAAACTGCACTGCACACTTGCTATGTACTATTTCTAAAACACACTTAAAAAACGCCTTGCCTCTGAATAGTCGGGCGTTTGTCTTTTGGTGCTATTTCAGTAATAATTTGACAATATCTGTGCAGATGCACGCCAAACCACAAACCTAAGAAAATATGCAAAAACTAAACAAATCCCTTTGTTAATCCTTGTTCAAATGTAGCAATATAAAATGTTAACTGCATAAGAGCTTTCTGCCTGTCAGTCATTCAGGGGTTTTACTAAGTAAATCATGTCTGGTGGAAAGGGAATACTCCATTTTGTAATTTATCTATACAATTCAAAGGTACTGTGCAAAAGTAATTGTTCAGGGAAAAATGTATAATGATAAATTTGAATTATGATCAGGATATACAAATTATATAATTCTTAATATGTGCCCTTGTTTTTAGTTTTCAGCTAGTATAAAGCAGAACATGTCTTGGGTTGCACTGGATTTGCTGAGACTGTTTCAGCTGATTTTTATTTTTTGTGCGTTTTATTTTGATGCTCAATTGTATTTTCCAACCTCCCCCCCCCGCCCCCTTTTTGTAGGTAGCTGTCTTGTTCATTGTTATATGTCTCTGCAATTTATTAAAAGCAAACCATAATCACATTTAAGACCAAATGAGGTCTGTATGATGGCCATGTGTAAACCCCAGATGAGCTGTATTGGAAGCTCGTCGTCGACCTCTATCTGCTCTCAAACATAAACTGACTTGAAGCATGGGTTGTGTGGACTGAAAATAAAGAGGCGTAAGTTTTTTTTTTTGGTTGCTTTTTCTTCCCCAAAACTTTTACATGTGACACTTTTTTGAAAACACAATTGAAAGATATAGTAAAAAAAAGAAAGAAAGTCAAACAACGTTTTAATGAGCCTTTTTATTGACTTTGTTACATAGTTTTTGCTGTGGGCAAAGACGCGATGGAAGCCTTGGTTGTATAGCACTTGTTTCCAAGTTCCACAGTGATGTTATGGCACAGGCAGCAACATGTGTGGTGGGCTAATGTTCAATTACAAAGAAGAAATGTTGAGTGCAATGAAATCAAAGGCTTCTCTCCACAGGACTAGCTGGTGAGTTTCAACACTGCACGTTTCACAATGTGTGTGAAGTAAAATATGTATTAACACAAACCCTACCACAGAGAACCAACTTTCGTATTGAGCGGTGTGAAACCTTTTTTTTTATTTTTTTAAACCATGCATGGCTTGGTGTGCTTAAATTATATTTAGAATAATACTGCTTTTAGTCTATAATACACTATTCTACACATGGAGCCAAAACAACAGAACTCAAAGACATTGTCATGACATGTACATCACTTTACAGCATTCCCCCTATAATACCTTGCACATCTATTCTGTCTGGTTTTTGACAAATCAGTACAATCTGGGAACCCCCCCCCCATTAAGTTGCATGCTACACAGTGGGCCTAAGGTGCTGATTAGTTTTCAGTTAATTCCAAACAAAACAAGAACATGAACTGTTGGGTGGGTTTCACATAGCTTCATTACGATGTTGCACAAGATGTGTTTCTTTCTCAATGGCTATGTTTCCGTCACAGTGGATAAATAATCATTGCTATGACATGAAGTGAAATGGTGCAAGTTATTAATTTAGCCAAGGCCATTGCAAATAGATGAATAGCACAATGACACAATCGAAAGTTAAACTGCGGGCTCCTTTTTTACTTTAATACAGATGTAAATATCAATAGATACATAATTGAGATTTTGTGTGCGTCCGTATTGCTAATTACCCCCTGATGTTCACATTCATAGTTAGATAATGAATGTCCTGTGAACGACAAACTGAGATCTCCAGTGAAGCCAGCTGAACTACACATTAAATTGGCCTGGTCTATTTTTAATAACTTTATTTAGATCTTGACTAGAGTGGAGCAATGCACAATAAGGCAACAGGATACAGCTAATGTGCATGACCAATCCTAAAATGTCATAAATACTTTAAAGCTATCTTCATTACATACTATTTGATCCAGGACAGGATTAAAAACACTGGTTAAAAATAAATCACAGCTCGTGAAAGATGTACATTGCAGTATTACCCCCTCGTCCCTCCCAGACTGCACATCTGTAGTAACATTTTCTTGATTAAATGTCCCTGAAAACATTTGAATAAATAACTGTCTCTGAAAGGCACTCTGAGATGTGCAGCTCATAGTTTCTAGAAAATAAAACTATATAACTGAAGATTGCTTCCTTGTAACACTGCACTCGCCTTGCTTAAACTGTTCAGTCCGTCAGAGAGAATAGGTCACATGATGTGACTTTTTTTTGGAGCTAAAACTATTGATGAGCATTAGACTGAGACAAGTGGAATCACGAGTCTCACCTTAACTGTTGAAGAAGATCTTTAAAAGGAAGTTTCTCTGATAGATTCCTTCTGATCCAGTCACTTAGATTAGACAAAACTGTGCTACTGTAAATTTGCTGGTTTAACTGTTGAGTATTATTTCCGATGTCAGTGGTTCATCAGTGTCAAGGATTTCACATTCCATTGATACCCAACTTTTACATCCAGTGCAATTGTTCCTTATTTGAGCACCTTCTTGAGCAAAATAAAAAAGAAACACAAAACTACCACAGTAGTATATAACCCTCAGCACAAAGCCATCTATTCAACAGATGAAATGTCTTTTAGTTTGTCCCTAAAACTGCAGGGCTGACGCTAAACTCAAGGAGAATTTAGTGTCCGTACCACACTTCCTGCCCTTTGGATTCAGTCAAGGCCACTGAGATCGAAAGCACACGCAGCTCTTTTGATGCCCTCAGCCTTAAAAAACACCCTTTAGTGAGGGTGCTTTCCTTTTGGAAGGATGACTGTGATTAGGCTGAATGAGTGTACGTCATCGATCCAGCAATAGCAAAGCTTAGTGGTTTGGATACAGCACTCTGCTCTCTGACCGTCAGTTCATGAATAAAAGCTTTTATCCAATCTCTCCAGGAAGCACTTGTGACAAGCCTATGTGAACTAAAACGCATACAGATAAGGTCAACTCATCAAAGCTAGGGGGGATTTTATTGCCAAGCCAGAGTGGAGTGGGTTGCCAGGTTTGATGTAGGCAATGGAGGGGCAGTGAAAGGGCTTCCACACGACCTTTTGTCCATCTCACACCTGCATCTCTGAACCACTGGACAAGCCCAGAGCGTTGGCCTCCTCTGTAGTCAAGCCGTTCTTAAGTGTCCTTCTCACTGTGCAGACAGAGAAAAGAGGATTGTTCAAATGTTTGCACGGCAGCCCATTGCATTTCTCTGTACATGAAAATGAATGATGCCAATTGGGTAATATTTGGGATGACTCACATGATTTTCGGTTGACTCGGGATCGCCTCCTCTCCCGAGGTTGCGTCCGCTGGCTGGGACCCTGAGTGGCTGACCTCACAATCCTCTCCATGATCTCATCAGCCGTATCATCTGTGCAGTTCACGGGGTCGTCACTGGCAGAGCACCATGGGGCCACACGCCCTGAAACAGGAAGGTCGGAAGGGATGATAGGTCAGGTGTTTAGAAACACCTTCTTCCTCTTTTTACAGATAATATTATCAGCTGTTTTCTTTTTTAGGTCAGATTTCTCTTCAATAGCTTTCATGCCCTGTGACCCAATGACTCCAAATTAATGCAGTATTATATGACTATACCGGTCAAGTAGTACACCTCTTTTTATTGAATTTCCAGGCTTTTACTATTGTCTATGAATATATTTAAAATTAAAAACGTAGTTATTGAAAAAAGTTTTTTTCTGAGTCTCCAAGAATTTTAAATATAACATTTGAAGATTTTCTCATTAAAATCTTTATGTAAATAGGAGATGGCCTAAAATCCAATAATAAGGAGTGTCGTATTAGTCCAGTTTATAAATACTATCTAGTATGGATGGAGTCAACGGGACAAATGAGCTATTGTAAAGAATATGGAACTTAAAACTTTTCATCACATTTATTTCATACAACTACGTTTTTTTCCACGCGTAATTTACTACAACTTTATAAATAAAAACAAAATAAATATGGGAAAGATGGTATTAACAATAAAAAAAATGTTGTGGGATTCAAACGGTAGATCATTGACGGTCCCTAAGTGAAACCCTGGGGTTAAGAGCAATAGCTCAGATGTGAAATAATCGTCCATTGAATGCTCACCGTCTGATAAACTCAGTATGAAGGATCAGGAAAGTTGTATGTATGTTTATGTAAGGCTAAAAAGATAAGAAAGATATTTCAGCCTGATGGACATACAGAGGGACAATGCCATCCCTAGAGGCATGCTGCTAGCGTAGCTAAAAATACCCCGCCTAGTGAAAGATTAGCTTAAAGGTTACAGGCTGGATTACTGAAGTATCACTGAAATGCTCATGCTGTGCTCATGGAGCATTCATGGCCACAGAGGAATAATGAATGATGATGATATGATGAAAGCTATGTACTGTAGGGGCTGTAACGGTGTTTCTCTGACTGACCTCGGGTGCCGCTGGCTCTGGTGCGTGTGCGGAGACCGGGCACCGTGGACGTGGGGCTCTCTCCGCCCTGCAAGCTACTCTTCAGTACGGCCTTCATGTTCTCATGCTCGGCTGCATCCTCAGCATACTGGATCCCCTGAGGCGGGCTCTCCTGTGCCTCTGATGGGGCCCCGCTGAATTTACCACTCTGTAGGGTGAGGACACAGGATTACTACAATCAGACATTTTATTACAAGGTGTTTGCATATCTCATTCCAATGCTCACTTTTAGATTTTGGGAAAAACCACACTGAAAAGCTATAAATACCAAACATGTCATACAGGTTAATCTTCACTCATGACACAGCAGTTTTTCTATCCTGAGATAAGAAGAACTAGTGATGTTGCTGTTTATTCTGTGACACCCACAACATAGTCCATTCATTTCCATAAGGAAGTACCTGCGACACCATGCGAATACCTCCTTTTCTTTCCTTGTCAAAACCTTCAAGCTTCCTCATTCATTGTAGGTTAAAGGCACACAGAACCTGTCAGTCTTATGAATGATGAATGGTCTTTTGTTAGTCTCAAAAAATGTACCAGTTATTGTTTAAAGTTACTTCAGCACAGTCTGGTTGAATGTTAGTCACCACAGAAAGTTCCCATGCACATGTTTGCACACAAAGTCACCCCCCTACCTCACTATCATCGTCATCATCACTCTACAGAGATAAAGGAAATGGGGGAAAAAAAATGCCAAGGTGTGGAGTGAATACAATATACAGCCAAATTAAAGTGAAAGCTCTTCATATACAAAATCACAAATATTTAGGAGGTGTTTTTAGACTTTCAGATCGATAAAGACACTACTAAGTTATCGTGTTTCTTTTTTTTACAAAGGTCTAAGCATTTTCTCAAATAAAAAAGAATTACATTGTCTTTGGTCTCTATTCATTTACATAAAAGGAATAGTTTAACATTTTGGGAGATACTTTTATTTGCTTTCTGGCGAGAGGTATATGAGAGGATGAGAGATGTATACCCCTCTCATGTCCGTAAAGTAGATGAACCCAGCAGCTGGTTAAGTTAGTTCAACCTGTTTACAAGGGAAGACAAAAATGGGCCTACAATCACCTGTCAAGCTCATTCATTAACATTTGATATCTTGTGTTTTTACCAAGGATATTGTTTATATTTAGTTATTTTTTTCAGCGCTTTTGGAAGAGCTAGCTTTTTGCCTAAGCTTTAAGTCACTAAGCTAGGCTAAGCTAACCATCTGTTAGTTTCAGTGACATTTTTAACAGACAGATAAAATAATCAATTATTCTAATGAATTCTCTGCAAATAATACAAAATCTTTCTCCATGTTGTTTATATTTTGTTATTTTTGGACACAGTGCTAGCTCTTTGCCTCAGCTTTAATGCTCTATGCTAGGCTAAGCTAACTATTTGTTGGTTCCAATGACATTTTAAACTGAAAATCAATGGTTCCAAGGAATTCTCTGCAAATAATACCAAATCTTTCTCCAAAATCAAAAGTATGGGGTTTTCATCCTCCAACACCATAAAAAAACATTGCGGATTTATACGAGCTAGGGACCAGAGGAGCATATTTGACTGAACATCTTTGTAAGAGTGTGGTTGAGGTGTGGGCCTTGTTATTTCTCCTTCAGGGACGTCCAAAGGTTTGAATTTTCACACAGTGATTGAATTAGAGTTCCTTTGAAGAGAAAGGGGCCCCTGCCAAGGCTCGCAGTGGAGTGGCTCTGAGCGGCCGACTCCTCGGGGTTTAAGGGATTTTAATCATGCAGGGAGGTGTTTGCTCTGGCCTTTCTTGGCCTGCTGCAGCTACAGAATGAGACACACCGAAAAGAAAAGCTGTTTGTTGTTACAGTAACCTAAACATGTGAATACTGAGGAACTACGCTGATGTCATTACAAATGTACAGCGTGTCTGTCAGTAATGGCCACTTTCAGCGATTTAACCAGATTAAGGTTATAACCAGTGTCGAGGGATAGCTCATATTGTCTCATGGAATTGAGAAAGTAGAAACTAGACAAAGATGAGGATCAGGAAATGGAGAAAGTGTATGTGTGACCCTTGCTCGTGGTGAGTAGCACTTACATCTGTTATCATTTTCCCCCTGGTCTTGTTTCTCTCTCGGTGGTTGGCCCTCTTCTGTTTCTGTTGTAGCACGCGCTCTCTTGTTGTTCGATACTCCAGGGCAAATTCACTCAGGATCTTGCTAAAGCGATGAATGCTGACCTCACGTACTGCATATATCGGATGGCCCAGGAACAGCAGAAAGGCATGAAACCTGCAGATGTGTAGGGAAACATCACATCACTGTACAATGATCCTTTAGAAACAGAGTTTAAAAATGCATTAAAAAGTTACAAAAATGTCTTTAAATGCTAAAAATGGTTGTTAATCAAACAGATATGAAAATAGAATATATAGCTTTGCCAAGTTGATCCAGCATTTGATCCTCACGGAGCATACCTGTTGAGTATTCTCCGATGAACAATCTTCAGAATTATAATTCTCTCTGCACACTCTTTGAGGAAGTCAGACATTTTTTGTTTCAATGCTGGTTTCATCTCATGTTTCGCAATGACCTTGAGGTGATCCCATGATGCTTTGCACCTTCGCTCCATCTGGGCCAGATTGTCTTGAAGCTGGTCGAAATCCACCTAACAGAGTGGAATCACAGAATTGTCGAGGAGTCTTTTTGGAGAATTTGACATTTGCATTACAGACTGATATTTTAAAATGTTAAAAACCTTGGTCAAGCGGGTGATTGCTCCTATCTCAGAGTAGAGGTCAGTGCTGTCTGGAAACTTCTCCACCACGATGGCGCAGGCGTGGTGCAGCAGGGACTGCTTATGAACTGTGTCCTTCACCTCCGGGACTTTCTCCAAGTAATTCAGCTCAAAGCCTTTCGCCTAGAGATGCATGTATACACAGCAAGTCAGAATGCGGGACGGAAACAACTGCATGGAATTACAAATCAACTGCCCCTAGTCCAGGACTAAATTGCACTGAATTTCCTTTTTGGCACACTCAGAAAAGGGACTCAATGGACTGAGCCAAGTAGATATGTAGATTCATTCGGCTGGTGATTATCAAAAACCACAATCTACTTTAAAACGTTGGAACCCCCCTTCCAAAAAAAAAGGCTGGACACTTCATGAAAGACACAATCCCAACAAGACTTCCCTTGTTCTGCTGCCAGTTTTAAATGGCTTACTGCAAAAATATAAATGCTGCTATTATTTACGGGAACTACTTGTTTTTGATTTATGTTTCCCTTGGCTATCATGTCCCAGGGGTTCACTAATGCATAGAAATACACACAGAAATCCCCATTGCATAAAAAAAAAGCACGAAACAGATGCCAATCAAGCAGCCGGACAAACACAAATAGTCCGAAAACACACAATCACACAACCACCCTCTCTTTTTCCACAGAGCCTTCACGAGCGTTTTTACTGTAGAAGGACAGTGTCTGCTGCAGACAGTCAGGCAGCACATTCTTCTACACATAGAGAGTCCACTGTTATCCTTGCCAAATAAATATGTTGGCGGAGGATTTGGGGGGAGGAGGAGCGTGGGAGGAAATGGAGGAAGTGAGTAAAAGACACACAGGGAGTGAAAGAAGAGGAACCTCTCGGCCGTATACGTCCTGAAGGTTACTCACATTAGTGCCATTGAGGAAGTTGCCAATAGCCAGCAATGTGGTCAAGATGTAGCGGAGAGTCTTGTTCTTCTCTAACTGGTCCATCCCTTCCTTCAGGTCCTGCAGAGGCTCGGCCACTTCCTGAGAGCATGAAAGGAAGTTCAGAAGCACATTAGCTACTCTTACTTATTTTTGTCAATTCATTTTGCTGATAACAATGCACAGTACACACAGATTTTATATGTAACCATCAAACGTTTTGTTTTGAGCATTTTGCCATTCAAAACATTTAGATGAGCACATCCTGTAATTCTTATACATTATGTATATTTACATCACAATACCCTATTACCCTATATTTTCTTTTAACACATGATGAAATAATCAATCATCGGTCTGCCCATTCCTCTAAATATTTTGCAAATGTAGCTATTCAAAACTACACACCTCTTCCACTTTCAGATACTACTATACTGCACATATTTTCTTTACACAGACATTTTTCATAATCCTATTGTATTTCCTTTTTTGTATATTTATATTACTTATAAACAATCGTTTTGCTGCTCCTATTTTAAAGCTTAAATTCACTTAATGTACTTATGTATGCACCATTATACACCAGAGCATATAGCTTGTATGTGTAATGGAAACTTCTTGAGCAAGGACTCGAAACACAATGAGAAACAGGAGAGCTCGAATCCTGACGGCAGACACTGAAGATGAGTTTGAAGTTACGTTAGAGAGTTGACAAAGACATTTTCTGAAGCCACCAAGTGACACAGCTCCTGCCTAACCAATTCTGAAGGTCACCCAAATCCCAAGTCTTTATCTAGCTCTAGACAAAACTATTCTCAAGGGAAGAGAGAAGGTGGCAACCGAGGTCGCGTGCCTGAACGCTGACTATAGGAGTAGAGGGATAAACTGGTTAAAAGGCTGAGGCATAGGAAAATATATTTCTCAACAGTATGTGTAAACCTACTGCCCAATAAACCTGATCCATAGTTTTCCATTGTTTTACTGTATTACAGGCACGTGTCTCACCTTCTCTAGAAGCTCATAGTCCATCTTGAATGCCCACAGCTGCAGGCGGGCCGACAGCTCTGTGATGGAGGACAGGGTGAGGAGGAACTGCTCGGCGCTGCCCAGGGGAATATCAGGGCTGACCAGCTGGGCCTCCTGGATCCTCTGCTTCTCCTCCTCTGTGGGGATCATCGTCAGGATTTTCTAGGAGAGGGAGGAAGAAACAAGAGGAGGGGAAGGGAAGGGAACAGGCTTTAAGGATCATTCATCAAGTCTACCTATGAAACTCCTAAGATACATTTTTACAAAATATGTCAGGGAGTATATCATAGGGGGGAAGAAACAAATTAATTTAGACATTTCTCTGCGTGTTTATCTAAGATGTTTCCAATTTTTCCCACAAACTTGCACGACATCTGAACTTTCAACCTCCCTTTGTTTTTTAGTATGTCTGTAAGGATCTCCGGGGACAAAAGGTGGGGATTAATACTCCTTTATTCTAAGAGTGAACTCAAGGTGAAACTCTTGAAACTACAGGTTATATTACCCCAAAGGGATGCAACATTAATCGTTATCCACTGAAAAAACGGCAGTATGGTTTTTAAAAAAAAACTCAAAATGTGCATGCGGAGCTCTTCTTTAATCATCATATGATTTATAACATGAAAACAGTCGGACAGCCAGCTGTGCAGCCAGGACATCACTCTAAATGTCAACACTTTGGGCCATCCCATATAGAAAAAGTTAAATCCCTTCCGAAATCCATCAGTGTATTTTGGTGTGATGAGTAAATGTCATTCAAGTGAGCTTTAAAGGACACCTATCATGCTATATTTAAATGATATATTGTAGGGCCATATCTTTATAAGGTATATTTATACGTTTCTGTTTTCAAAATACCAAACAGATCATGCATTTTAGCCATGCCTCATTTCGCTCTATTTGCTGTTATCTAGCCCTGTTTTTGCAGGGGGCTGATTCTGTGAGCTGCAGCTGACCACGCCCCCCTGTAGCTGACCACGCCCCCTGTAGCTGACCACGCCCCCCTGCAGGAGAGGGGAGCATGCTTTGAGATCAGCTGCTGGGCTGCAGCGGGGAGAAAAATAGATCTCCGTCCTCCGTGTTTTATTATATTATTATATAGAGTCGTTATTCATTTGTTTTAAAGCTCAATAAATAACAAAGAAGACCTTTGACTGGCACTTTTCAAATTTTGTCCGGAAGATTTAAACTTTAACGGACATCTTGACCGGCGAAAGAAAACCTGGCTGAAACTCTGCCGCACGGTCCCCTTGTTCCTTGGAAGAGGCGGAGAGGTGGGTGTTTGTCATCTGCTGGTGGGCTAACCGGAGAGAATTACAGTGCTTGCCTCGACGGGGAGGGATTGCATTGAATTACAGCAGTGGGAGGCGCAAACGCTTGCCTCGGGGAGGGAGAAAGAGAGCCACAGCGGAGAATAAACAGAAGGGCAACCATGGCAACCATGCGCGGGAAGTCTTCTTCGCTGCTTTTGTGGCAGACTACAGCGCCACTTACAGGCCTGGCATATGTACTACAGCGTCTCCAGCGCTTTCGAGCGGCAATGGCCGGCCGTGGCCCAACCCCACATTCCCCTGATAGGTGGAGAATTGACCCAATAGCCGTAGCGCCACCGTCCTGACGTCATAGAAGTGTTCAAATCTGGATCAGTTTTTATCAGATCCGTTGCAGGCCCTTTTTTAGAGATTTGGGTATGGAGGAAAATAGAGAGGGTTGTGTTTTCTGACACTTGGTGAGTTCCCTGGAACACTGGGGACACATATTCATGTATAAAAAACGTACAAAAGTGCATTTTGCATGATAGGTCCCCTTTAAGTGTTTGTATACGAGAGACTAGACAGTGCCTTAGCAATTTAGATACTCACCTCAATGCCCTCTTTGTTCAGTGCGTACTCATCAAAGTTGAGGATAGCTGTCTTAATGGTGCGAGGAGGAGGTAAGACAGTCAAGCCGATGTTTATAGCGTTGCTGCGTTTTGAACCCAGGACGATGATTTCTTGTCGTTTGCCATCAACAGCTGCTTTCTATGAGAGATACAAAACAGCATCACATTAGCGCAGGACTGATTAGCCTTTACCACAAAATGAACAACTAATTTGCACACTATTCACCATTATAGTAATAATAATATATAATATCCTTCGCTATAGATTTAGCTTGTTTACCCTGGTAAAGTGTGGTTGTGGTGGGACCTCAACCATTCTAAATGCCACCCAGGGGGACAGTAGTGAGCCAAAAAAGATTACTAAAATCAAAAACAATCCTTTCTAAAATGGTGCCAAATACCAGGAGTGTACAGTAATACTACATGGGTCTACTGTTACAACAGCACAGCGCTAATTTACCTTAGTGACAGGCAGCTCCTTGGACTTGGACTCAAACAGCTGCTCCAGTTTGGATGTGTCCACTTTGACTGGCTCCAGTTTGGACCAGAGGGACTCTTTACAGAATTTATGACTCTTACACTGCCAGTCCACGGGACGCACCTCGTTCCAGAAGAGACGGATGGTCTTCTTCTTCTTTTGGAAGAGAGGCATCTCCCCTCGATTCAGCTGGGGGGAGGGCGGGGGGAGAGGGGGCATGAATGGGG